ATAGGCCGATGCCTGTAAATACTTACATGAGACCACGCATTTCACATTTCGGCAGACGTGATGTCAGACCGCCATGTAGTGTTGAGAATGTGGTATGTTGAGCAGTAGACTCTTGTTCGAGCCATGAGCATGCATTTTAAACTACGTTATCATCATCCGATGGCGACAATTAAACCTAAAACTTACTCCCCTATTTCCTGAGCATTTATCGATATAAACCTCTCAAATATCACAAAATGGGAAACATGGGATACTAATAAGTGTACAGCGAACACTAGAAGAAAGAAACTTACAAAAGAATAGGGTTTACATTTGAACAGCAGAAATAGCATGATAGAGAAATAGAAGTCTAATAAATTACTACCTTTACGTTAGACCCTAGATACTTAATTAAATGCCGATTGCAGTTGCAGCGTCTCTGAAGGAAATTCACAGAATCATAACATAATGCTACTGAAGTCGAGAGAATTAGAGCGCGTGATGGGCTAAATGTGGATCTTGACAGGTCAGTATACCGACGGCGTCTTTACCGAAGGACATTTGCGCACTATGATAGGTCAAAAAGCGTATTTTTGAGTGACAACCTCTGACGGTCTCCAAATAAATTAGACTCAAATTTAGGGGTGTTTTCGGCGCAATGCCCTCCACACGGCTTTTATATCACAAATTGCAATCAAAATATTTGTACCAGACATACTGCTAATCATGTTTTAAGATAAATGTCAGCCGACTAGAAAATAGCCATAAGGGGACGTCAGTTGAGGGTGCAACATATTAATTAACCTGCAGCGCATCCTCAAAAGGTAGGCAGGTTGATACACTTACGGTTATTAAACATCAAAGATAACTTGACTATGACAAAATAGCAGTTAACTGAACGATAAAAATGAAAGGCAAGTCTATAGACCCAACGTTTTTTTAAATAACCGGGTTATACTTTACAAAGTATTAAAATGTCACCTTAAGGATTCACAGAACAACGTAACTGTACAGAGCTAATGACATGTTATCAAATGCAAGCAAATCTCGACAAATTTCCCCCTGCATACACAGTGGTCAGCATGAATCCTATAAGGATTTCCCTGAAACTGCATTCGTTGTCTTCACTGGGACACTAGAAAAGCGACATTTGCACACTTCGCATCTATGTATTGGGAATATCTGATTCACAAAACGAGCAAAGGTGACGAAATTTTTGGTGTTACTTTAAACATACCGTGATCTCGAATCCGGAGGATCTGATGGCTTGATCGCAGTTGGTGGGCAGGAATGGGGAAGCGGAGGGCAACCTTAACCATAACCTCAACCTTAAACGGTAACCGTTAACCCTAACGGCAACCCTACCTAACCGAAATCGTAAACGTAAGCGTATCCCTTGGATAAAGACAAAACTGGAAAGCCTAACCGTAATACTAAAACCTAATCGTACGCTCAAACCATAACCGTAAACCGAAAACCTAAGCCTTACGGCGTGATCCTAACCCGAAAATCGGAAACCATTAACCGGTACCCTATTCCTAATCTCAAACGTAAAACGAAAGCCAAATGGGTCAGATGTAATTATGGAACCCAACAAAATAGCCACAGTAAACAAAGCCCCCAGCCACAGGTAATACGAGGCCTGGCTACCAACTGTGATCTAGCGGATCTGATGAATTCAGTGAATAAAAAAGCATCAATGCATTCGTAAGGCGGGATAAGTAGCGGTTGCTTAATAAAGTTTCCGAGAAATAAAATGGTTTAAATCAACTTTTTAGAAAATGCTCGAACGTCAAGTGAGAAAATACATATTATTAATGATTACGTTGTAGCTAAATCCTTTAAAGGAAAGGTGAATTCAATAGATATCAAAAGAAATTTAGCGCTGACACAGCTGAAATGGGGTTTTTCCATTGAATTATAACCTTCGAAAATTCAAAACTGTATTCGCGGCCAATAATGTGTTTATATACAAGTCTTGAGACGACCAAATTTGGCCACGATATGACAAATCTTAATCACTTATGCCTTTCTGTGTAGACTTACAGGTATCCCCGTGCAAGCTTTTACCAAAAGTATTCCTACACCCTTGAGATATCCATAAGCAGATCGCATAAGGTAAGATATGTGATTTGTGGAATTATTTAAATATGTAAATTAAAATTACGACGTACATCGAACTGCCATTTTGAGAAAGAGACATGCTCGCGCGAGGAATAGATGCGCCGTTGAGGCGTTTAGGTATTTTTATAAAACGAAATTTGCTTGCACCATTGTAACTATTCGTTAACAAATTCACCAGCGCTTCATTACTTCTGTTTTACTGGCAGATTTGTGCATTCCATATCACAATATTTCAAGCATTATCTTCCCATTTGACTGCTTTCCATGCTGAACCAAAAGTGGATATTTCAGCAGCACCGACTCCTCGGCGCGGTAGAGGTTATCGACTGTCATGCAGTCGACAAAACGTCAACTAAAAAAGCTACAAAACAACACCTAGTTTTGAAAATAGTGTAGGCACTTCCTTATTGTTTCTGCACCCCGCGCATATACTTACACTTACCGAAAAACTATAGTGTTTGGTAATTAAACAAAAAAGCACATTGCATTAATGCATTTCTCTCGTTGACAGACGTCTACGCTACATATGTCCCTTGGAAATGGCCTTTCTGACTGTTCCAAAGGGTGCCTCTATAGACGGACTTTAAAACGCCTTTGAGTCGAGTCAGCTGGACCTTTTCCTCACAAACGCACGATGCAAATGTGATCGACCGCAAACATTTCTTAAACCAGACTTGACAATCCATCTTGAACTACTCACCTTATCTCACTTAACGCCGAGCAACTTCCGGAAATACGTTCTAGATTGGCAGGGATGACCTAGCTGGATTTGTTACAGCGATCACCCTGCAATATGTTCGTTTCTTATTTTGTCCATGCAGGAGGCCCTTTTTTGAACGAGTCTTGTTTCAGCCATCCGCACAAAGCACACACGATAAAAATGTATGTGCAGTAATCATGTACTTTTTTCCATGTTTACAAATGCACTTGCAGTCTTATAAAAAAATACATAATCATATTCATTTTTATGCGTGTTAAATTAAATTGCGAATTCTTAATATTTTTTGTTTAAAGATAAATTTTATTTCGGTTTTAGTGTTTATGATTATGAGAGGTTTTGTTGTGTAAAATATTCAGATTCTTTTATTTTTGCAGCTGGCCTAATAGAAGTGTCTTTGAAAGCTGGTTTCATAAGGTTTTGGAATTATGTTGCACAATAAACGACATTACAAAATCCCCTAAGTACTCATGCCTAGCCGAAGAGGCGTTTCAGAAAATTCGAATAATAAGTACTCCTTAATTAGCTCGCAATTTGTCAATGTTTTCAGATGACATTGGATTTCTCCTAAGTTTTTTATAAAACATATCCTACTCGTTTTTTCATCTATATGTGTATTCCTTAACTACGGCTGTTCGTTTTTATATCTGAAAAAGAATTACATTTAACTTTTAATTTTTACGAACATTGGAATTTTTTTATTTTCCAAAAGGTTTAGTCAAGCAACATCATTTGTGTGCACTTATAAGTGTCTCTTATGAACCTGACTAAACAACTTACGTTTAAAGTTAAATATTCATGCCCTCATCTGCTATCTACAGAAAGGTAGATTACCTTGAAATATAAAATCTGAACATGTTTATGCTTCATCTGAAATCAATATGAAATAATAAGAGCACAGCAGGCACTGGGAAAGGTCATGCTATTAAACAGTGATTTTGTTGGGCGGGTTATTTAGCATGCGGCCGAACAGAACTATCATCGACATGCGGTATCGTAGAGGTGGATAAAATATCTGGAAATTATGTTGTACGATAAGTAGTACTACAAATCACTTAAGTAGACAATTCAGAATTTTTAAAAATATCTTTTGAGAGAGATCAGTGAATGCACGTCATGTTTTGTCGCAATAGACCACTTATCCCTCCAACCAAGGGTCAAAATAACGCCCAAACGTTTCGAGGATTGAATCAAAGGGTAAAGATTAAAAAAAATTGCCTAACTGATTCTGGTATATTAATCCAATTAGATTATTTTATTCCTTATGCACTATCTACCAGTTTTCATTCTTTAAATCAGCCAGATGACTAACAGGTTGAATGACAGCAGACTTGGTGGTTCTCAGCAAAATTTTCCGGGGAAATAGGACATGCGAATACCCTTATAGCATTGCGACTGTAAGAGTGCATGTCGACCATTCATGTCTTTGACATTAGCCACAGTGAGTCATAATTTTTTTGTGCGTTGATGTTAGTATATCCCTAAATCTCTCATTTCCCCTTCATCTTTAAACTCCATTTAACTTAACTTCGTAAGCGCCTTTATTACGCTCGTCGTTTGCGTTCCCATCGCACACCTCAACCACTAATCGGGAGGTTTATAGGTGTCTGCATTCTGGCCTCAATTGTTTATCGATTTTGCTTTGTTTACAAGGGTATGCTCCTGTTAATGTGTGTCCTTTGAATGCTCTTCTCCACTACCGGTGTTTCTTACGTCATTTTTGTCGAAATTTTCAAGGGACACTTAGCTATGGTCAAGCAGTGCTCTAATCAAATTCCTGACGAGGTGTTCTAACCCTCCCACTGACATATTTGCAGCGAAGTCTTTCTGTGTCATGTACTGGTCTTTCCTATTATCGCTTATCCTACAGGGACATATCAGAGTCCCGTTTTACCATTAATTACACAATCACCTGCATTTAAAGAAATCGAAACAGAGACTAGAGCTATTCTTAAGTGGTTCAGAAGATTCGTAAAATATTTTTTAATCTCTCTCGACATTCATTAATCAGTGTTCTGGCAGCAGGGAATTGAGGACGTTTTTGCAAAGAATTGCAGAAACGTTGAATCTCTGATTGTTTATAAACGTTATAAAGGGAAATGATCTATTCCGGTGGCTGACTATAAACAGTAAAGAATAGATCATTACGACTACAAGGGGTCGGAGAAGCGCCGTCTTTATGCACCTTAGGGAGGCCATAGAATCGGGCCAAAGCCGTATCTTGGGGTCGCTCAAAGGGACTCCAACGTACGGACTGGCTAAGTGGCTGTTCCGGCGTCTCAAGTTCCTGACCGCTGAGTCAGACACCACGGTCTCTTCGTCAGCACAATTCCTGGAGAAAGTCCAAGGGGTAAGCATCCATCCAAATGAGGTCATGGTATCTTTTGATGTTACATCCCTTTTTACTTCTATTCCCCAGGACCTGGCGATCGAGACAATTGAACTGCTACTACAAAGCAAATACGATGAAACGGAGAACCGTCTTGGACACGCCCAAATCCTTCAGCTCCTGAAGCTCTGTCTCAGGACGTACTTCACGTTCGACGGGACAATCTACGAACAGGTGAAGGGCACACCAATGGGTTCGCCGATTTCGGGATTCATCGCCGAGGCGGTCCTGCAACGGTTAGAGTCGCTGGTCTTCCAACACCACAGACCGAAATTCTGGGCCCGGTATGTGGATGATACCTTCGTCGTCATCGAACGGGATCAGGTGTTGAAATTCCAAGAACATCTCAACGCCGTCTTCCCGGACATTCAATTTACGATGTAGGAGGAAGAGAACAACCAGCTGGCCTTCCTGGATGTCCTCGTATGCCGCAAGGATTGCGGTGGACTAAAGACCAAAGTGTTCAGGAAAGCGACAAATACGATGCAAGTACTGAACTTTAACAGTAACCACCCAATCAGCCACAAACGCAGTTGTGTAAGGACGCTCTATCGGCGTGTCGAAACGCACTGCAGTGAGCCGGAAGACAAAATTGCTGAACTACAATACCTCCGACGGGTCTTCAAAGCCAATGGCTACCCGCGCAACTTCGTCGACCGGTGCATACGCAAAAGGGACGAAAGGCCTAACCGCACGGATACCAAGTCTTGGCGGGCACTTCCGTATGTCAAGAACGTTTCGGAAGCTGTCGGCCTCCTTCTCGCACCACTTGGGGCTGGAGTGGCACACAGACCGGAGGCAACCATCAGGCGTCTGATCATGAAACCGAAAGACCCACTGCCACGGCCAGAAACGTCTGGAGTCGTTTATCGGATCTGGTGCAGTTGCGGACAAAGCAACTACGTCGGAGAAACCGGAAGACAGCTCCGAACGAGAATGGCCGAACACGCGGCAGCGGTGCGCAGAAATGACGCCAGCTCTCAAGTTGCGGCTCATTCGACGAGACCCGGCCACACATTTAAATTCGATGAGGCCGAAATTCTCGCAAGAGGTGACAACCGAGTGAGCCGGGAGCTACTAGAATCATGGTTTACTGGCCCCCAGTCCATCAACTAGTGCAACGATCTTCCCATTCAATACAGCGTGCTGAGACTTCGTCTAGGCGGAGTAATTGGCCACGCGGGGAGCGCACTGGTGAACACTCTTCCCAACACCCGGGTCAACGCGTCAGATGGTCGAGCAATCATCACGCCAACATCCAACGCACGTGATGAAATTGCAGCAATTATCGACTCGAATGTCGGCCATCAAGCAATGATCACCCCAAGTGTGACAATCCCGCATGAAGGGGGAAGCCGTGAACGTTCATAGGTATGCGGTAGCATGGCTGCTGCATCCTATAAATACCGTAGCCCCTTGTGCAACAACCACCCGTTTCTGCTCTTTTGTCTCTGATGATGGATTCGAGTAGAAATCCGAAACGTCAGGCTTATAAAGCTCTTGTCCCGGCGATCGTGTCTCCTTCTTCAAGACTTCTTCCTGGGACTCGGCTCTTCGCTTCTATTGGCAATATTTCAGTCTTTTATAAGTTGACCGAAAGTATAATGCACTGCACTCTGATATGTGTTATTAGGAAACTGTAGACTACATCTGTAACTGTAGCTTTGTCATACCACATACAACTGACGACTATGCCCTGCGGCTTTTACTCACCTATTTTACTGAAGCCGACAAATTCAAGCGCATGCGTTTTGGTGATGATCTCGGATAGAAGAAAATAGTATTATTGTGGTCAATTTGCCTCATGTCTAGATAATACTTTCAATCGAAAATTAAGCGCAACTTGAATGGTAAAAAATTGGGGACATGGACAGTGCACTAATCAGCACATCATATTTTGCTCAGCATACCAATTTTCTCTCGTTGTTATGTTGTAGTAGATATCTGGGGAAATCATTTACTGACTGTCATGTATGCACGGAGTATGGCACACAAACCGCTTGTTCATAAAAATTGGTACTTTTAGAAATTTGTCCGTAAAGTAAGTCGTCCTGACTGCTCTCATAAAGGCGAAGCCTCATATAATGACTAAACCATAAGCTTTGGAAATAAACTTAGAAACAATTTTCTAGACATCTACGTGTTCTGCGAATAATAAATACTGGAACATGCATTGGTCTCTGATACTTGCAGGTTTACAGTGACAGCACTAGCGGTATCCGTGGTAATTCTAAATCTAACCCTGCAGGGAACTACTTGTCATGATCTGAACCAACGCCGAAATGATTAAAGGGCGTTAAAGCATCAGGCGCATAATTTACCAGAACCAGAACATTGTACACTCTCACTGCATATGGCGGCTTGCTTTGTTCTTGCAATCATTTAAACCGGATCCTCCTGCCACGAGTTGAAACTACAAGTTCTTCATGTTCTGCAGCGGAAAAGGCACAATCCCATAGGTTAACACATTGCCAATTACAATGTGTAAAAGGAAGTTGGGAAACATCATTGGGTTCGCCGATCCTGTTAAAGTGCGCCTCAGCTAACACAAACTGTGACAAGTGACCGTCACAAAGTCGTATCACGTGCACAGTTTAAAGTCAATTATTCTTTATATCCTTTGTCATTAAATCGATGACAAATTGGACAGTCAGTATTGCAATTTGACGATCATGCACAATTTGTTCCGTATAAAAGCCAATCAGTTTTAGAGCTTTTGTGAGGTATTGCAAACTAGCGATGTAGTAAAGCATCTAGAAGCTAAAACTTTCTAAATGACAAGTCTCGTCGTCTTCCTGTCGGCACACGGCAAATGAGGTGACAACTGATATGCTCGGAGGGCCGTAAGTCACGTTCAACGATTTAAAACCTGTCCGCGGCAAGCCTCCAAAACCGGGCGTTTTTTGACAAATCATCTGGCTTCCACGTTAGAACATAAGAAATAATTTTTGCAAGGCAACATTTAATTTAAAATAAAGATAAGTGTATGGGGGAGGAGAACATCATAGGAAGGGACAGCATAAGTATATCTGCCAGCCACTGAAGGTTGAGAATCACACCGAAGGATTTAACTTTTTCGAGTCTCCTGAGTCCTGGACACCCTGACGGCCTCTCGGAATTTACAAGTCGATTCTTCATAGCAATATCTCGATTCTCACAGAATTTCAACGGGAGTCTCGTTCGGAAAACCTATCTCCTTCCGACCACACCAGGACTTGTGAGGGATAACCTATCTTCGTCCAGTCGCCTCTCTGGAACAGCACGGAGTAATCCCCAAAACCTACGAAAGGCTGAGTCGTTTACCTCATATCCTCGATCTGGTTGAAAATTCGTGTCATACCTTTAAGAAAACCGTTTGAAACTTGTAAACTCGGTAGTGTTATTCAGAGAAATGCCCTTAAAACACGGTGTAAAATGCATGCCCAAGGCGGGATTTGAACCCGGTCCATCGGTCGGACAGACAACCGACGTTACCACTAGGCCACTGACCCACGCCATCGTCGTTAAAAATAATAATACATCTTCTATTACGCATGATATTAATGACTGTAGTGTTGGACGTTCTGCTGTCAGACCAATGCCCGTAAAACGCGCAAAAAGTCTAGTGACGTTGGGGAATGTCACATACGACGATGAAATCTGTACCACATGTTTTGGACTCATCCATAAGTTTTCAAAAATGGAGGGGGAGTTAAAAGGTCTAAAAATGGAGGTAGAAAAGTTAAGGCGGCTTACTCACCACTTACGTGAAGAGAAGAAGCCGACAAATTCGGCAATTCAGAATCCGAAAAAAACATATGCAACCACGGCTTCTTTAGCCATATCAAACGCTGAAACTGACGAATGTTCGTCCAGGGAACTAGACACAGTTGA